TAGTAGTAGTAGTCTAGTAGTCTAGTAGTAGTAGTAGTAGTAGTAGTAGTAGTAGTAATTAGTAGTAGTAGTAGTAGTAGTAGTAGTAGTAGTAGCAGCAGTAGCAGTAGCAGTAGCAGTAGCAGTCGGAGTCGTCGTCGTCGTCGTCGTCGTCGTAGTAGTAGTAGTAGTAGTAGTAGTAGTAGTAGTAGCAGTAGCAGCAGCAGTAGCAGTAGCAGTCGGAGTCGTCGTGGTCGTCGTCGTCGTCGTCGTCGTAGTAGTAGTAGTAGTAGGAGTAGAAGTCACAACAGCAGTAGCAGGCGCAGCAGCAGAAGCAGCAGTAGATGCAGTAGCAGCATCAGAAGCAGTAGTAGCAGTAGTATCAGGTGCAGGCGTAATAATCGTTGGCGTCGATGTCGTCAGTGAATGCGGTTGTGAACGGGCACGGAAATGGGACCGTGATCTTAAAACCTAAACCCATAAGAAACCTAAGCCCAATTAACCCGGACCCTATCCCACGTATACCCCTAAGTCCCACACCCTTAAATCTAGAGAAACACCAGTGTTTCCGTGGCCACGCTTGCTTCGTCGAAGCGTAACATGCCTCAACCCAACTAGGAGTATACCTCAAAATCCTAGACTCTTGAAAATTGAAAGGTCCCGATGTCAATCCCGGTAGCAAGCTCAAAGCCTGCATAAAGTCGTACCTAAACCATCATACAGATAACTTGATCCCAAAGGGTCCAAGTATTAATATGGTATCTACTTTGTAGGTATTTGGGACGCAAAAGTATATACTATACTATACTATAACTTGGACCCTTTGGGGATTGCTATGAGCTTGAAAGCTCCGTCTGCCCAGCAGGATGGTTCGTCAGGTGTCCCCAACCGCCTCTTCCGGCTTAGGCGCGGCTGCTGCGCGACCTTTCTTCAGTTAGGGTTTAGAGTTTAGTGTTTAGGGGTTTTGGGGTTAGGGTTTTGGGTTTGGGGTTCAGGGTTTAGGGTTTAGGGTTTAGGATTGGGGCTTTCGTTTGCGTTGACCCTACTGGACGGATCGGGTGATATACTGTAGTAAGTAGTCATAAGACAGAAGGGTTTAAGTTCAGCAGCCCCAATTCAGGGATTTATACTCCTAATTACTTCCAACCTGCTTGTAAAGTGCCCGCCTGTCTAGTAGATGCTTCGGTCTCCGCAGGGTTTGCTGCCGCTCTGTTGCTTTGGATTGACCTTTGTTGCGCTCCCTGTGAGGGTCCTGCGGGACTCCCCAAAAGAGAGCTGCATGCTAACAAAGGCCTGCTGGTCCCTAGCGGGTTTGATGGACGTAGGCGTTGGGCTTCGGGCTTTACATATTCCAGAGTTGGGGGGTCTAGGTTTCGGCGGCCCACGTTTAGAGCTTACAGCTGGGTTATAAAAGTCGTTACATCCAGCTGCCCCTTAATTTAACTTTATTCATTCACGGACTATTAAATCGGCACGCAGTGGGGAAGCATGCGATACGGGCCATAAAGACAGGAGCAGCTAGAGCAGAGTTCCTCCAGTTCTTCAGTTCTGCAGCACGATTGCGGAGTGCGAATGTTCCTCGTTCCTGCATCCGATGCCTTGAAGCCCTAGGACACGAAAGCCCTAATCTCTAAACCATACTGGCTCCTTTACGAGTTCTATGATAGGGTTCTCCTCCAATCCTAGGTAGTATCAGGGAGACACCTTAAAGGTTGACCCTATACTTATGGCTCTCTTAGAAGGGACCGTATTGAGCGGGTCCCCCTAATCCTAACTCCTGCTGAAAACTACACGCCGTTGCCGTTGCTAAACCTTGCAAAAACAAGACCCGAATTCCGAAATCCCGAGCCCCGGCCCCCCCAAACCGAACACTCGTTCCCAATCCTGCATCCCGCTCCTCTACCCGAATAAGATCCGTATAACACTCATGTTAAAGCCTCAACCCTCGGCTTTTTGGGCCTTAAACCCTCTCAATCTCGTTCCGTTCCTGGTCCCCCATCCCGAAGCACTATATAAACCCGGAACCCTACAAACCCCCCTAAACCGCCGAAGACTTTTATCCTAAATCTCTGAACCCTTGCGCCCTAAGCCTTGATTCATAAACCCCCCTCTACATTCAGGGTCCTCGAAGGTAACCCCAACAAGGAACTACGATGGAGACTATGCGTAAAATCCCCAAATCCTAAGTCCCTGATCGAGCAACCCTAAAACTTGCAAGCTCTGGCTATATCATAGAAACCTTATTCTGCCCCTATAGCCTCCCTACACCCACCCACCCCCCCCAAACCCCTAAACCCTAAACCCTGTAAACCAATCTAAACCCTAAGGCCTAAACCCTAAACCCTGAAGCTTAAACCCATCCAAACCCCTAAGGCCAAAACCCTACCTATCGTCTCCATGGTAGATCCTTTTGGGGAGTACCTTTATAGGATCCTTAACCTAAAACTGGTTACACCAAGAAAAGGAACTACAATGCAGACGAAAAGTAATATAGGGGCCTCAATAGTCAAAATAGGGCTTTGGGGGCCCATTCTACTATAATTAAAGTAAGGAACCTCCAAAATAGTATTGGCAAACCCTAAACCCTGAACCCTTAACCCTGAACCCTGAACCCTGAACCCTGAACCCTAAACCCTGAACCCTGAACCCTGAACCCTAAACTTTAAACCCTAAACCTTAAACCTGAATTATTTCGGCCCCTGAAAAGGATCCCGAAGATCTCCCTGAGCCAGGCTCCTCTCGCCCACCCAGTGCAGCCCGGGCCTCGAGATTGGTCGGTTCCTTTAAGGGTTCCTTTAAGGGTTTTGGGTTTAGGGTTTAGAGTCGGTAAGTTTAGGCTTCCACCTAGAGTTCCTTTTAAGGGTTCGGTTGCAGGGTTCCTTTTAAGGGTTTCGGGGTTTACGGTTTAGAGTTCCTTCTAGAGTTCCTTTAAGGGTTCGGTTTCGGTTCGGTTTCGGGGTTCGATTTAAGGGTTTCGGGGTTTAGGGTTTAGGGTTCCTTCTAGAGTTCCTCTAAGGGGTTCGGTTTCGGTTCGGTTTCGGGGTTCCTTTTAAGGGTTTCGGGGTTTACGGTTTAGAGTTCCTTCTAGAGTTCCTTTAAGGGTTCGGTTTCGGTTCGGTTTCAGGGTTCCTTTTAAGGGTTTCGGGGTTTAAGGTTTACGGTTCCTTTACGGGTTTAGGGATAAAGGTGTTCGGGTTTAGGGTTTAGGGTCCGTTTTTTTGGTTCCTTCCAACGGTTTGGGGTTTAGGGGGTCTAGAGTTCAGGGTTTGGGGTTATAGGGCTTGGGACTGCAAGGTGTTAGGGGAAATAAGCCAGGGGCCTAAACAGGTACGAATAGTGTTCCCCAAGGAGGGGCCCTTACTATAATTGCAGATATAAGCTGCCACAAAACCTCTAAGGCCGCGGTATTGTTCCTAGTTGAGTTAGGGCTCGCGGCTTTAAGGGTTAAGGGCTGTGCGCAACAATAGCAGCACGACTGCTGTGTCGACGAAAGCGGAACGTGACGATGATCAGCAACTCTACTGAGTCTAGGACATTTTCAGGTTACAGAAGGTCTATATACCTTATAGAAGCCTTATATACCCTAAACTCCCCACCTGTAGTTTCCTTTAACTGAGGATTCCAGAACACTTGAAGAGCTTTCTGTGAAAAAGCATGCCTGCCCAGCACCTGCTTCAACAACTCTGCTTCCTGCGGACATGCTGTCCAACAACGAGGCGCACGGCGTTGTAGTCATCGCACTTCTCCCAGACCTTCCAGTGTGTGTGTGTGTGTGTGTCTTACTTATGGAATATACCGTAAGTTACCCTTTATCATGTTGTTGTGCGAATACGGCTCATGGATTCTGGGTTCTGCACACTATACCCCTCTTCCCTCTCACCTACACAGGTCATGGTCACGATACCCCTAGACCCCAGACCTGCACAGGTCATGGTCACGAAGGACTTGCGTGCACTTTTCGTGCACTTTTCAGCGAACAGACTTCCTGCAGCTCTTCGGCAACCTGTGGACTACTGCCTCCCGCAAACCCGGTCGTGGACCATGAGGTTTCTCAAGAAACCGAGGCAGCAGAGGAGAACAGCGAGGTTGCTGCCGACGACCTTCGGCCTACGCCAGCTTCAGACGCGACGACCCTTGAGCTGCCTGGCCGTGCGTCAGACACTGAGGAGGTTGGCCAGTCTTCCTGCAAGCCACAGGCCTGGGAGAAGCAGGCGGAGACGGAAAGCCAGACTGCGCTTGGCCAAAGGGTGCCAGTCGCCGGGAAGCGGAAGGCCGGCGACGCAGAGCCTCTGCTGCTGTCCAAGGTACTCAAATAGTAGAACATTGGCCCTAAAGTACCTATATGGGGACTACATTAAGGCCGAAGTATATACTATGTGGGCACATGGACCCTTAGGGTTATAGTAGAGATCCCAAGATATGATTTAAGGCATCTTCCTGAATTACGGGAGTTTGGAAGCTCTCGGACCCTCCTCCATCTGCTCCTCCTCCGGCGCCTCCGCCCCGGAATTTCAGTGGCACAACTCAGACCCTCCAATATCCCTGGATTGAAGAATATACCTTACATCATATCGGGGATCCTACCGTAATTTGAAGCATACCTATAGTCTCCATCGTAGTTCCTTTTTTTGGTTGAACCAAAATTATATTAAGGATCCTATAAGGTAACCCAAAAAAAGAACTACAATGGAGACTATAGGTATTCCTGAGTGAAGGGGTTTTGGAAGGTCTGGGAGCTTCCATCCCTGCACTAATGCCCACAGCCCCGAGCCTCTCATACCCACCACTCCTAAGGCCCTTGAAAGCCCATATGTTCAACTTTGTACCCTTAAGCCCTAAACCCAAAGCTCTTAAAGGAGCCTTTTGCAAGGAACGGGAAAACCCTAGACCCTTTAAAGGACCCTAAACTCTATACCCTAAACTTCAACCTTCACCCTCTAAGCTTTTCCTCTCACAGAACACTCTGAGGTGAGAAAAGGATCCAAGGAGAAGAGGCCCCCCGCTCCCTTGTGGGTTTAGGGTTTAGGGATTTGGGATTTATGACGGGCCTTTGGGTTTGGTCCGATTTGTGGAGGCTTCGTGCGGTTTTGAAACCGGGGATCGCGGAGTCAGGGCTTCTTTGGCTGGGAGCTGTGAGCGTATGACCCTATGCCTTGACGTCTCTTGGGCGGAATATAGAAGCTTACCTAGTTACCAAGATTATCTTATTATAACTAGACCGCAATTAGAGTGTAAAGAAGCCCCAAAATCCTCGTCTAATTATTAAGGCCCTTACATTTCATCGGCAGGCAGGGCCGTGACAACTTCCCGGCGTCCCTCTCGAGCCTTGCGGCCATCGAACCGCACCTTGGCTCTACCTTAGGGTTTAGGGGCTTTGGGTTTAGGGGTTTTGCTTAGGACCCATCGGCGGATGAATGTTAAAGACTGGGTTAGAGCAGTCTTGTTTATGCTGTTGATGATGATTGTACAAACTATCAGTTCCGTCGTGGCTGCAGTCGCACTTGCAGTTCAGATGTCAGCTAACCCCTAAACCCTACACCCTAAACCGTGTGTGGTGCCCTTCATCGTGAGGTTGGTCAATCAAGAGGATCTCGATCGTTTGGACAGTCCGGGCCTCATCCGCCGCAAAAACTCCGCACGACAGCAGCAGAGGGCAGTCGCTAGAAGTCTCTTGGGTTCTCTGGGGCTAAGATGCCTCTGGTTTAGGGTGTAAGCTTTTTTTTTAGGGTTTAGGGTTGAGGGTTTAGGCCTTGAAGTACGGGGCTCTTTAGGTTTTTGCAAATTAGTTAAGGTCACCACTTCAGGGCCCATGCAAACGAGGCATGAAGTCTGACGGCTCTTGGGACACCCCTAAACCCTAAACCCCTAAACCCTCAAGACAGAAATAAGCAGAAATTGCTTGTTGCTGTTGGCCAACCGGAAACCTAACGTTTTTCGGTCGGGACACAGCCTTTCCATTTCAAATAAACAAGTTTCAGTTTCAGGGTTGAGCAAGGCAACGCACCCAGGATGGCCCAGCACATACCCCCGCAAGCCACACCGGGCACAGCCCAGCCCAACCCAGCCGCCCAGCCCAGCCCAGCAAGACCCAAATTCCATAACGGCACCCTGCACAGGAAACGGTGCAGCGAATTGCCGGACCATCCTGCTCGGTGGCTTCTGCAGACAAAAACATTACCCCAGCCCCGGGTCCAGCCCCGACCCAGCCCCAGCCCAGCTGCCCAGCCCAGCCCCCAAACCCGGCCCCAAACTCAAAATCAGGCTCCCAAAACCAAAACTTTCGGTCAAAACGTTTCGGTCAAAACTTTGGCACCCAAACCCCTTAACCATCTCCATAAGCCCTAAACCCACCATTTTTTGGAGTCTCCGGGCTGAAGCTCTGCGCGCCGCTGGTCTGTACAGCCGTACATGCTACTTCGGGTTTAGGGTTTAGGGTTTAGGGTTTAGGGTTTAGGTTATCGTCTCCAGTGTAGTTCCTTTTTTGGTCCAACAGGTTTTATATTACGCATCCTAACAGGTAACCCAAAAAAGGAATACAATGGAGACTATAGGTATGAAGTACACTGAAAGTACCATGAAAGGTCTACAACGAGTGTGGTGTGGCATGTGTCTCAATCTGTGGACCGTAGTAGTTACTGTTGTTTCTCGTCGATGCCTCAGGTTATTCCGCTGTTGATGAAGTCATCATTGACATAGCCACTTGAAGTGGGTTACAAGACAATCTGCATGCCAGCAAAGAAGTATCGCCGTACACGAGAATCTGACAGTCTAACTCTGACATTGTAGAACCCGAAATCCTATAACCTAAGCCTCAAAAGAGCGAGAACTTCCAGGTTACAAGTTGAAAAACTCCCGAGCGCGGACAAGAGCCTTGCCAGGCAAAGTCACGAAGATGGAGGCGGATCTAGGATCCATGCAGCTTGGACGCGGAGATTTAGGGTGTAGTAGGGTTGGCGGCCCTAAACCCTAAACCCCTAAACCTTAAACCCCTAAACCCTAAACCCTATTCAGGAAGTTTACAGTCCAGGAGTTAGGCTGCTTCGAATTTAATGTGTGTGGGTCAAAAAAGGCGGGTACCGTGATTTGCGAAGCGGGCAGTTCCCTAAATTCGGGTCCCTTTGGGGGTCCTTTTTAATAAGGGTGCCGTACTATACTGGGGACCCAAACAGGGACCAAAATCTAGAGAACCACCGAAGTTCTGGTTTTGCGGGAGCTTGTCATGGTGGTTTTAACATGCCTACAACCTCCATTGTAGTTCCTTTTCTCGGGTGACCTTATAGGATCCTTCATGGAACGTTGGTTAAACCAATAAAAAGAACTATAATGGAGACAAAAGGTAAACCCTCATGTAGGGGCCCTTAATAATTAGAACCGGAGTCTGGGGTATACTATACTATAGTTATAGCAAGGAACCCCCAACAGAGTAAGGCTTGTTCAAGCCTCGGAGCGCTGCCATATACCGTTATAGTCCCGGTATGTTTCTCGCATGTAACTTCTGTAGAGGATATAATTTTTTCCCCAAAGGCCCGATGCTAGTTATCAAGGCGCCTACCATAGAGTCAAAATCTCAAAGTCAAGGCAAAGAGCTGTGATTCCATAATCCTTCATGCCGCAGGAAGTGGGGTTGACAAATCATGAAGCCCTAAGCCCTAAACCCTAAACCCTCAACCCCAGAAGCCTAGATCCGTAAGTTCGTGTACCCATAAGATACATACTTTAGCCTTGAAGTACCTCTATTGGAGCTCCCTTAAGGCTCAGGGATATGCCATCTCGGCGCAGGATGCCTTTAGGGAAGGATGCAGGCCCCGAGGCTGAACACCCTCAGCTTCAAACTTTCAGGATTTAGGGTTTAGGGTTTAGGGTTCAGGGTTTAGGGTTTAGGATACTGGGGGGCATCACATCTTATCTTGTTAGACTACCTCCAAGGTTCCACTATAGTAAACCCCAAAGCCCATAAGAATCATGGGCTACTATATCAACGCCGCCTTAGGGACAGATGTGGGTGACAAGCGGCTACTGCTTACATTCTTCGACAGTGGTTCATCTTCTTCTCAACAGGAGTCTGCGTCGTTGCCCCATCTTACATAAGTTTCACGTTCAAATAGCTTTGTTAGCAGATTTGGCCGAGCTGTCCGTTTTCTGAACTGTTTGAAGGGGCTTTTGAGACAGGTTGTGGTGCGGTTTGCCAGGGCTGTGTGATACACATGTATGTACATGTGTATATATATACATATACATATAATATGTAGACACAAACATGCACACACATACGTATCTACATAAACGTCTACGTACACGTACACACACGCACGCACGCGATCACACACTTACACAAATACTTGTGGCCTTACGAAGCCCATAAACTTCATCACTCAAGGCTCGTTCTGCTTTCAGCTGTCCTCCACAGGCACGGCGACATTCAACGCGTGATTGAGATGATGAACGACAAGGCTGGACAGGCTTTACAGGACGTTTAGGATTTAGGGCTTAGGTGTTGCGACGCATTTGGTTGAAGTACTTTGGACTCGGCATCTATGCTTCAGGGCTGGTGCATTTTTTCTGGTAGCATATCGGGCTTTTGATGGCTTCGGGTTTACCTAAAGTCTCCATTCCTAGACCCTCCATCTACCCTCTACTAGACCCTAAGTACCTACTAGGTGGGGCCATCTACCCCTATTTACGGCACAAAGAGGGTCCTGGTAAGGTGCTCAACTAAAAACCCTAAACCGTCCTAAACCGTAACAACCCTAAAAATCCTAAAAACCCTAAAACCCTAAAACCTCAACTCTAAAAGCCCTAAACACCCTAAGCCCTTAAGTGAAGACAGCTCCAAGAAGCCTTGGAGCGGCACGGCACTTTCCCGAGCCTGTGATGCGGAGTTCTTGCGAAGGGACTTTGGGTTTAGGGCTTAGGGCTTCGGGTTAGGGTTTAGGGTGTAGGGTTTAGGGTTTAGGGCTTCGGGTTCAGGGTTTAGGGTTTAGGGCTTCGGGTTCAGGGTTTAGGGCTTCGGGTTCAGGGTTTAGGGCTTGGGCTTTTTAGGGTTCAGGGTTTCCGAATGAGCTTGATGTTCGTTGTTTCAACAATCAACCTATCTCATTTTGCTGGACCGGCGAGATGGTGCTGGAAGCAGCAATGCCCGAAAGAACGACTTGAATTGTCGTTCAACCTTAGATGTTGAACCTGCTAGGACAAGCCGCCGGGGGAGCTTCCAGCTGAGCAGGGCAGGAAGAGACGCAAGATGGCCAAGGCATCGAAACATGATATTCCACGAGGCCTATTCTCTCATAAGCGTTGGACAGAGTCGCTTTGCCAACGGCAGACGGGGCCCGTAAATTAGGGCACTCGATGGAAGTTTCAGCGCTGAACGGCAGCAGGGGCAGGAGCCCTAAACCCTAAACCCTAAACCGAACCTGCGCAACTACTGACACTCTGGTTCGGTGTTGTTTCTTGACGGCACTTCGATGTTCGACTCTGTGTACAAAGCTTGTGTTTACAGGACATGAATGCACTGCGTGAGCACTTGGCTACTTGGTGAATAGGTTTCAGGGTTAAGTTGAGGGGTTGGAGTCTAGTTTCCAGTGTTTGGGGTTTGTGGTTACCTACGTGGAGCCCGGGTTTAGGCGAAACACACTCGTTTCCCAATGCAAGCACTTCCTCAGTCGGTTTTGTTATTCTTGTTCTGAGCATGAATACTGAATACTATTAAGTATAACTGTTATTTTTAGTATTTGTGTTATTAGTAAACCATTATATTACTGTTCCTATTACACCTGCTCTGTCTACTGCTGCTCCAAACAGATACTTCGTAACCCTAGGACTCCTAGGACCTAGCGCACACACACACACACACACCACGAGCCCCGTAAACTTCAACTCTTAAAGCCCTCAACTTGTAAACCGTAGCGTGCAGAGATATTTTGAACCCATGGAAGACCTGACAAAAAAACAACTTCAACCCCAAACCCATCAATCGCACACCCTATAAAATCTCCCAACCCCTCCCCGACCCCGGAGTCTATAAGCCCCGAAGCCTAGGTGCCCCGAAGTTACCCGCAAAAGGCGAGATGATGGCCCCCTAAACCCTAAACCCTGAACCCTAAACCCTAAACCCTAAACCATGGTGTGTTGAGTGTGTGATCTGGCAGGGTTTAGGCTTGCTTTGTGATGGATCGAGTGCAAGAGTCAACTACTAGACTCCCTACGAAACTGTTATAAGGGCCCAACCGTGACGGCTGAACCCATACTCCCCAACCCTTATAACCCTAAATTAAACCCTATAAGCCCTATAATCCCTGAGCCAGCCACGGGGTAATTCAGGGTGCACCTATAGTCTCCATTGTAGTTCTTTTTTTGGCTTAACCAATATTATATTAAGGATCCTCGAAGGCAACCCCAAAAAGGAACTACAATGGAGACTATAGGCAAGCTAAACCCTAAACCCTAAACCCTAAACCCAAGTTTCAAGAGCTCTGGCGCAGATCGCTCGCAGCCGCTCCGGTGGCTCCCGCAACACGTCGCCAAACACTTCGACCTTCCGCCACAGCCCCTTGGACCCGCTTTTAGGGCTTAGGGGCTATAGGGTTTAGGGTTTAGGGGTTTAGGGTTTAGGGTTTAGAGGTTTTGGGTTTAAGGTTTATAGGGTTTTTGGACCCGCTTTTGGGGCTTAATAGGGGTTATAGGGCTTATATGTTTTATAGGGCTTATAGGGAGGGTTTAGGGGTTATAGGGCTTATATGGTTTATAGGGCTTATAGCAAGGATTTACATGGTTTATAGGGCTTATAGGAAGTGTTAAGGGGTTATAGGGCTTATAGGGCTTATACGGAGGGTTTAGGGTTTAGGGTTTGCTTTTTGGCTTTTTGCTGAGTTTAGTCTCCGAGTGAACAAACATGGGCAGTTTTTTAATTTCAATTTTTCGCATGCTAATTATCTGTAAACCCTACACGGTCAACCACGTAATCGGAACAAGCTTTCCTCGGTACACTAGCGACTGTGGAGCTTAGGAAAAAAGTTCGACAGTTCTCGAGATTAAGAAGTGTTGCAATTGTTAAATGAACTCCCCGAAGCCCTAAACCCCAAAGCCTAAACCCTAAACCCTGCCCGCAGCCCTAAACTAGCCTGGGCACACACCCAAAGGCTCCATGTACCTTTATAGTAGATACTTAGGCCTTAAAGGGGTCCCTATATAAGTACGTACTTTAAGGCCTAAGTATCTACTACAAAGGTACATGGAGCCCTTTGGGAAGCCGAAAACCGGAAAAGCCGGGCTTTTCAAAGGCTTTCTTGTTGAGGGGCCGTTGTGAAAGGGTTTTGGGTTTTGGGCCCTGTGTTAAAAGGGTTTTTTGGGGTTTAGGGTTTAGGGCCTTTTTGAAAAAGGCTTCGGGTTTTGGATTTAGGGCCCTGTGTTAAAAGGGTTTTAGGGTTTAAGGTTTAGTGCCTTTTTCAAAGGGCTTCGGGTTTTGGATTTAGGGCCGGTTGCCTGTACTGGCTTCTATAATCAGACCTAGAAGTGTGCATGCTGGTTTATAGGGCTTATAGGGCTTATAGGGTTTAGGGTTTGCTTTTTGGCTTTTTGCTGAGTTTAGGCTCCAAGTGAACAAACATGGGCAGTTTTTCAGTTTCAATTTAAGCATGCTAATTATCTGTAAACTGCTACACGGTAAACCACATAATCGGAACAAGCTTTCCTCGGTATACGAGCGACTGTGGAGCTTAGGAAAAGTTAGTTCGACAGTTCTCGAGATTAAGAAGTGTTGCAATTGTTCAATGAACTCCCCGAAGCCCTAAACCCCAGAGCCTAAACCCTAAACCCTGCCCGTAGCCCTAAACTAGCCTGTGCACCCTAAACCCTAAACCCTGAACCCTAAACCGTAAACCCTAAACCCTAAACCCTAACCTGTGCACAAACCCGAAAACCGGAAAAGCCGAGGCTCGCCAAACACCTCCACACAATTCCGCCTCCTGGGCTTTCTTGTTGAGGGGGCCGTTTAGGGCTTAGGGTTTAGGGTTTAGGGTTCAGGGTTTAGGGTTTAGGGTTTAGGGTTTAGGGGGCATTGGGTTTAGGGCCTTGTGTTGAAAGGGTTTTAGGGTTTAGGGGCCGTTGTAGAAGGATGTAAAAGGGTATTGGGTTTAGGGCCCTGTATTGAAAGGGTTTCAGGGTTTAGGGCCGTTTGTTTAAAGGGCTTCGGGTTTTGGATTTAGGAGCAGTTGCCTGTACTGGCTTCTACAATCAGATGTAGAAGTGTTCATAGAGGGCTTTATAGTTGTCTGAACCGACAGTAGGTTGCTGGATGTGATTGCTAACTAGGAGGCTTTCAAACAAGTTCCAGGAACAGCATCCCTAAACCCTAAACCCTAAACCCTAAACCCTAAACCCTAAACCCTAAACCCTAAACCCTAAACCCTAAACCCTAAACCCTAACCGTGATTAAACCCCAAAGCTTGTGAGCCCCTATCAAATGCTAGAAAATGGATGCCCTTAGTAGTAGAGTCGAAACAGGCAGTGTGTTTTTGAGACCTTGCGCTCGGAAAGTTATGTAGCGACGTCTGGTATAGGGTCCTAAGCAGTTAGCATTGGGCTTTCGGGTGTTTTCGGTGTATATTAGATTCTAGTTATATGGGGCAATCAGAGGATATGACTGGCTATGTAGATCTGAATATATATATATATATATATATATTTAGGCTAAGGATGCCATAAATATCCAAGTCCGAACCCCTAGGCCCTAGGGCTAAGGGGTTTGGGTTTTGTAGCGTCCGTGCTCAGGTTGAAGGGAAATAGAAGAGAAATCCTAAGCCCTTAGACCTTCAACCCCTATACCTTAAGTAATGAGGGTGGTTGGGTTTAGGGTTTAGGGTTTAGGGTTTAGGGTTGGGGGCGGGGGAGGAACGACCGAGAGACCAAACAAGTCTTGATAGGCATGGCTTCGGGGTTTAGGTGTCGCTTCTCTTTACGGGAAAATGGGGTTTAGGGTTCAGGGCTTTGGGGTATCGCCCTCGGGATCAGGGTCTAGGCGCATCGCCCTCGGCAGCATCGATTTCTCATGAAGAAGGTTTCGTCAAACCCTATTCATGTTACAAGTTGCCAGGGTTTAGAGCGGGGTCGGGCGAGCAGAGCAAGCAACCCTAAACCCGAAACCCTAAACCCTAAGCCCTAAACCCTAAACCCTAAACCCTAAACCGTGAGCGGAGTTTCCAGTCTAGAACTCCACAGCCCGACCTTCCCACTGCACCCAGAAGATCCAAGGTGTCCATACACAATGTGGGAGTTTCCGAAAACAAGGGGTACCTTATTTGGGGGTCCTTATTGGGTGGTTGTCAATTTGTTTGGTCCCTTTTGGGATACCCTAAATAATAGGTGCCGTATTATAATAAGGATCCAAAAAGGGACCATAATTTTGACAACCACCCTTATAATAGGGGTCCTACTAGTTAGGGTACCATATTAGGGT